ATCCGAAAGCAGAGCTCGCACGTGCGATCCGGTGGTCAACCTCTATGTCAATGTTAGCGTCCTTCGAGAGCGTGCTTCCAAGATAGCAAAAACTCTCAACCGTCTCCAGGTTCACACCGTCAATGGATAAACTAGAGATCTACAAGGAGCGGGCTGAAGCACAACCTTCGTCTTGGAGGTTCCACACCTACTGCACTGCCATCGGCCTATCGCCACAGGACTTTGGTTGATGTCGTGACGTGCGCTGGACTTGGATTATAGTGAGGAAGAGTTGCGCGAGTCGTCGACCTCACTCTCTCGTCCCTTCCCATTCGGATCCAGTGGCAAGAACAAGTCAAGATGGCTGGGGATAGAGCAGGATGCAGTGGATGAACGCGACTGACTGGACTACTGTTATGACGTATTACCTACTACCTGTACTGACTAGGGTACTGTACTGTCAGGTCAGTGTAGTCGGTCTTTATAGTATTCTGGTGGATTGTGTGTTATAAGTCATTGGTTTATCCCTGTTTCTGATTGGCAAAGAGATTTCCTATAGATTCAACCTATGGTAGCCACAGGTTATTCTTACCTCTAATCCGGAATCTTTGTTAAGAAAGTTTTATTGTGTTAATATAAAATGATTGTTTAACTTTTCTTGTCTTCTAAAATTTTTATATACGATTATTCTAGTTTTTCCCAGTTTATTTTCTGTCCAGTTGACATGGCGTATTCTGCAATGGCTGAATTTTATGTTTTCACTACAATTATGTGTTATTACAAGCTTAATAGTTCCAACCCTTTTATTATGTCATAGCAATTAGCATGAAGGCTTAATGATAAAGCAAAGCTTTGGAAAAACTACAGACAATGTTTAAATGTGATTTGACAGTATTGCACTGTCATTATTTTCTTTTATTCTTGTCACGAGTCTTCTTCCCGTTTCTCCCATGTATTTTTCGTTGAAGGTACACGGAATTTCATATATGACATTTTTGTGTTTCTCATTGGTAGGTTTCTGTTTGTTTTTCACCAGAATAGATCTTAATGTCTTGTAGGATTTCCACGGACTTATATGTTTAATTTCTTGGCTATGCATTTGAGTTTTTCACAGAAATGTGCAGATAAGAGAGGTAAATGGTAGTAGTAGTGTTGTACTGATCTTTTCTTTCTGTTGTGGTCTTCTTCAGGGAGTTTTTGATGAAGGATGAGGTGTAACCATTCTGTTTAAAACACTACGATCTTTTGACATTCTGTTTCGATGGATGTCTCATCGCAAATGTTTTCTGCTCTCTGCCTAAACAATGTATCAAAGGACAATATTTCTACTGGATTATCATATACCGTACAAAGAGCATACTTTGAGTTATTTAATATCACATTTGAAATGATTGGGCTTTCTATGTCAAACTTTTTTATTAACAGCATTACTAGCTTCAAATCCAGAGTTTCCATACATTTACAACTGAAAATTTCGCCTCAATCTGTTGAACGGAGTAGGCTTCACCAGATAAAACTTTTATTTCTACACATTTTTATTCTAGTATTTCAATCCTGGGAACTGTCTAGATTCGTAATACTATAACTACACATATTATGGCTACCTGTAATTCTATCAGATTTATGCTGGTAGGTATGACAATTTTTGTTTGGTTTGAAGACAGCCAATCACAAACTGTTAGGCCATGTCTAGTGCAGTTCAAATCAATACAATATAAAAAGAGCAATCTCATAATATTTGTATTTACATCCACTTTTTTTTAATTTTTAATAATTATTTCAATTATTCTATGTCTAAACAATAACAACAGCAACTTTACACCTGTTGTACAATTTATGTAAATATATATATATATATACATATAATACTTACATTAAATTTAATCATTTGTTAATTGCTCTTGTTTTATTGGAAAGCTACACTATGGACTATCTTCACTTTTTCTACTTTGAGGAAATGAACCCTGGATTTTAGCATTGTAAGTCTGTAAACTTACTTCTGACCTACTGGGGGACTCATTTCTTAATGTTAACATTTTTCTACACTGGAAATGTATTTCCGATTGATAATTACCTCCTCTCAAAAAAACCTTTTCTTGACTTATACTGCCCTCTATATGTGCAAATTTTCGCTTGCGACAAGCCTTGATATTCCCACCTGCCCTCACGTGTATTTATGTGAGCTATTTGCAAGCTATCATGCAGCAACTCTTCACCAATAAGAGTGTGACAACTTCTATCGTCACTAGTGTCCTCTCTTCCGTGCATCCACTAATCACTTAGAGATTGAACAGTACATATAAAACCTACATTGGAAGCTAGAATCCCACTTTAAGTTGGAGGGTCCAGTGAGAAGATGACCCCCCCCCTTTATAAAGTGCCCAAAGGAAGACAATGGGGTGAGCAGCTAAATGGAAGGCAACACCGCCATGGGAGACTGCACCACTTCCGATGCAAGTATACTCTTCGCCCACATCAAAACTGTGTCACAATAAGGGTGGAAAAATGGAGGGGCCTCCCAAGCTTAATCATGTGTGCATATCCAACCCGACCATCACCATATCTAGGGGACAGTAAGAAGGTGGATAGCAACGTGGGGTCCATCTTCAGTACATCGCCAGGTGGCATTGTGAATGCATCATCCAGTCCACAGTAGGAAAAGGGAACCTGGCCACACACATGCGAAATTAAGAGACCCCAGGTGTAGAGTAACTAGGGTATATTGGTTCATAAATGAGAGATTGACCTCAACTTACACCAGGTGAAACATAATGGTGATATCTGGCCCACAGTAGGAAGAAGGTCCTCTGCCTTTCACCTCTGATATGGGAACTGGTAGGGAAGATAAGCCTCTGTAATAAAGATCCACATCATTATGTGTGCACATCCAACACAAACATCCCCATATCTGGGTGACAGTAGGAAGGTAGTCAGCAAACCGGAGTGCATCACCAGGCAGTATTGGAAATATATTGTCCAGTCTGTGGTAAGAGGAGGATATATGTGGCTGGTCCAGCTCCAACTATCACCATATCTTCTGGGAACTGACATCTGGGGGACAGTAAGATGAAGGGTGCCTTAGTTGGAGGGGCAAACTGCATGTTGGTGGAATGCATCATCCAACACCTGACAGCATGTGGAATTGTACATCAGGTCTGCAGTAGGATAAGCATCAACACCATCTACACTGGCATAACACCACTGTTCTACTCTCAACTGAGTGAGATTGAGCACACTTAGGATGATGCCTCCATGATCCACCACCCCCAGTGGCTAGGAACTGTTAAGTGGCAAGCACTTCCATACTCCACTAGAAGAATGGGGAAATAGTGCATTGGAGAGTCTGGAGGAATGCTGCACTGGAAACAATGCAATGGATGATCATGATACCTTATTTTGAAAAGCAGGCCAAGCCTGTGACATACAATACACATATATCTGCTCTACTTAAGTTAGTCCATAAATGTACAGTCTGGGATGAACATCTTTATGAAGCAAAATACTGCAAGGCATACCAACAGTGGTCTTGTCTTATCTTAACAGTGGGCATAGATGACACACAGATCTTACAGTGTGGATTTAAGGATAAGTATACCTGGTCTGGCAACATTCACCACAAGTTAGGATCCTGAGACATGGAAAGAGCCCCTGCAAAGAGACATGCAATTAATCTACTTGAATTCGAAAAAAGAAACAAACAGTAGGAAAGCATGAGCGAAAACACATCCTTTCAGTGGGTGTACCAATCGAGAAGTGATTACAAGCTGCACAGAAGAGATAGCACTAGTGATGTTAGGAGTTGTATCACACTCCTATTGGTGGAGGGTTGCTGCATGATAGCATGCAGATGTCTCATGTGAGGGTAGGTGGGAGTATCAAGATTAGTGGTGAGCAAAACTTTGCGCATATAGAGGGTAGTATAAGGCAAGTTATTTGTGAGCGGAGGTAAGACATTGCATGGGAAGTTACTTATTGAAGTAAACCAGACACAGATGTGGGCAACATCCTTTAAAATTTTTTATTATCATTCACAACAAGCTGAGAAGACTGATTTTACATCTGGATCTTAGTGTCATACAAACTTCATTGCTCTTGAGGTAGGGAAGATATTGCAATTAACAAAAACATTAATTGCACAGAACTAATACAAACACAATGATACAAGATGAAATGTTAAAACTGATACTTTCTACTTATACCTTGTTCACACTAATGTTGTGGTTATCTACAAGAACATTTGGCAACTGCACAACACTTAAAAAGACTACAAACATGATGATGTAGGTCAATCTTATTAAAAATGCAAGTTTATCTAATCTAATGTTCGTAAACTTATATTAAAATTTATTTGTTAGTTGCACATCTAGAGACAAATCCATGTGTCTCAAACAGAAAAATAAGGCAATATAACCTAACACTCATGGAATTACGAGCAAAACAATGAAGACAGTTTTGTAACTTCATTAGTGTGGATGAACAGAAAATGTGAGAATTGTGACTTTTTTTTTTAATCAATGAAAATACATTTGTAGTTCAAGGTTTTATTTTACATATTCTAAGTACAGAATACTAAGTTCAGTATCTTTTAACAGCTGGTAATACTTCCTAATTTTACATAAAATCTAGAAAAAATAAACATTATCTTGTTTCTAAAACAATAAAACATTATTTTTAGTACCATAGATATATTCTACTCTTCTCTCTGTGGTATATTTAGTTAACAAAGCATTTTCTTTTTTGTACACATGAAAGAATTAAGTACTGTTTACAGAAAAATAGTTATTCATAACGAACAAGTACTGTTTCAGCCATAATTTTACAAACTTGGGATAAAAGTACATAAAATATAATAATGATTAGCCAGTTTACAGTTCCATTAAATTCTCTACTCTCCAGTGTGTGGTTTTCAAGTCATTCTGGAATGACCTGAATAACCAGCGTTACATGGAGTGAGATGTTAAGTGCACTGTACCTGTCACGAATATGTGTGTGTAAATATCAGTAATATCACAACATAAACAAATATAAATTCTCATATAAAAATCATGCTTTATATGTGGTTTATCTTGAACAGTGAATGACATATGTTATCTTACCATTATGAAATAATATAGTTTCATTATAGTTTAGTTAAGCTCAACATTTTGCCAAAATGATAGATGTACTCGGGTAAATAGTAAGTTTTTTTGAGATTTTTCACACAAATATACTTAATAAACATTGCAATTTCACATACAGCATACCCATTTATCCTTTCTTTCAGTTAACTTTATACATAGCATACATGTATCACTGAAAAAAAAGAAAGTTAAACCCCTGTCTTACCATCACTCTTGGCTAAAATATCATCAGAAAAGTAAAATGGAAATAGAAAGCTTTCATGGGTGCAAGTTGTGAAATAAACATAAATTGTCTGGATGTTTGAACTTATAATTTTTTTCCCCCAAGCATTACATTATTCAAGCTAAATATGCAAATTTTCAGAAACATAATTAAAGCTTGTATTTTAATGTAAAGCTTATTTTATACAAACCATTCTCAAATTTCTTATGTGGCAGGCAGTATGGTCATTTCAATTTATCACTAAATGTCACATACTCAAGTGTTACAGTGATAATGCTAAATAATCATGTAACATAGGAAACTTTTACAACAGAAACAGAGGTTAATAGAAAAACAAACCTTTAGGGCAGATACAAACAGTTTAGGAAAACGTATTTCTTGTATCAATATCTACGTGTAAATACAGCTTGGATTTTTATTACAAACACTTTGAAGTTAATAACAGTTGAAAATCTATATAAATAATCATAAATTCTAATACTTTTAAATACCATCATAAATTAACCCTTTCAGTATTTTTTGTTCGTTTTGTTCTAACATATGTTTATGCAGGACTGGTGGGACCTATATATTCCCCAAAAAATATTTTGAACATGCTATAGCAGGGAATACCATTTGAATGTTAATTATTTTATTTCATTTTCATACACTCTGGCTAAAGTTTCTATAGAGAAAGTTTGTATGAATCAGTATATAATATCTTCTGTGTGTGTGTGTCATTAATGTAAATTTTTAGAATTGAAGAAATAACACATTGATTATAAGATATTATCGCGTTACTTTCACCTCAGAATGTAGAGATATTTTCATAAATAACTTATAAAACACACGTTTGGGAAAATGTCCAAAACATGTAGAAAACATTTCTTATATATCCAAATTATTTAAATGCACTTATATTGTTTGTATTTCAAGAATACAAGTCGTACTGAAAGGATTAATGAGATCATTTAATAAAACATAGAAATCTTTATGTTGCTGAAGGAATGGCACAAACTATTTAATTCCATAATACATCTTATTCCTTTGGACGGTTATGTCAGTGAAGACTAAATCCACAATATGTCCAATGGTTTAGAAAAATAAACCTTTAAGTGTCTTAATATTCTGGAAATATTATACGTGTGTTGAATGAACATATACCAAATTAAGTTAATGCATTCAAGTATAAAATTTGACCTTTCTGGTTTTGATCCCCATTAGCTGAATTGTAGTCTATTATATCTTAGTGTTAATAACAGACAATGCCCATTATAATTTGTAAACCTAAATATTTTCATAAATGACCTTCTGTGTACTAAGTATGTGTTGTATAAGTGCAGGTTTTATATATACAACTTAGACAATAGCCATACTTTAAGAACAAGTATGCTAATAAGCACGTATATTTCACAATAAAGTATCGACATCTGTAATGGAGAATCTCTAATGACACGAACACGTTTTGGTAAAATACCCTTGCCCTTCTTCGTGAGAAACAGCTAACTACCTCACAGTAAAGAATTTTTGAACCAGAAAAACAAATAGTAGGGTATTATATGTACCTCAGGATGGTGTATGGAGTTTTTAGAGAAGCATTCTTGCTAAAGAAAAAGGAGTCAACCATTTTACAAACCCATGTTTTCATTCACTGACACACTCGTGTACACATGTTTACACACGACATATATTGATAAATGAAGCAGACTGGTTGATAATTAAGGACAATCACTAACATTTCATAGCACACGTCTATATACTTTGGAGATGCACAATATTTTGCTCAGTAAAAAGCAGAGCAAATAGACAGCACTGGATGTAACAGATTAAGAAATATATTCCATAGAATAGCTTGGTCATTAACAATGGGTAACACAAAACAGTTTATTCCAAATCTTCAGAGACATTATAGTTCATCTGATGTGTGCAAGTTGTATACACACACACACACCACGCAGGATTTTATGATTATCACAACTATGTAGATGTATTGAAATCCTTGGTAAAAAACTACAACATGACTTTCACATACATTTTATCTTCATCTCAGTGAACTTATCTAAATAATGACTTAAAGACTATATTAATCACCAAAACCCTTTTCGGTAATGATGCACACTATTTGTAATTTGTATTTCTTAATATCAATAAAAAGACAAAATGTTTTTTTTTGGAAGAATATACATAACTTTGGAGATATAGCATTTGGGATGTTAACTGTACACAACAACTGAATGAATTTCTTTATGCTTCAGTAAAGAAGAAATAGGAACCACTCTCATACAAGGAGAATACTAGAAACAGATATCAAAAACAAATTATTCTATTCACCAAATCCTATTACTCTGTGTACAGACTACTGAATACCTATATGCTTTATAATAAATTTTAATTATCTATGAATTACAAGGCTACTGATAAACAAATAACAGTAAAACAGACTAAGGCTTATTCCTTATCTGTTAACATATACACACGAGGCATTTTAGGACAAAGATGAGCAAAGAAAAAATATAACTTGGATGATGCTGTAATGATACATTGCTAAAGTGGCAAGTTAGGGTTTTTTCAGCTATTATATGTTGGTAGAACTTTTTTTTTTACTAGCTGTGTAGTTTATTTTTTGTTTACAATCCCTTGTATCAATAGTAACCTGATGATGAGGAGCAGCCACTTTTAAACTGCAGTTTTTCACACACATATTGAAACATTTGAGAATTTTTCCTAACAGAATGTGATAATTATTGTGTTGCTGCTACAAGCCTTGAAAATAGTTTAAAATGCTTTGTTGTTGAGCCAGTATAACACAATTATATTATGTAATATAATATTCTAGAGCACTGTTAAAGGTGTAGGTTTATATTAATCTGTTGCAAGTGATGGTGATAAAATTAGAAAATACCTTCAATGAAACAGACTATTCAGATACTCATGAAGAGAGCTTTGTCAAGTCCTTGACATTCAATCAAAATTACGACATAGAAATACTTATATAAAAAATATGCTGAGAATACGCAAAAAATATATATATCTGTAATTAATGTTCTAGTGTAACATATATGTAATACTCAATATTACGATGAAGGGAAGCCAACTGTTAATATTCACCTATAGTGTAACTTAGAAGTAATATATGTAATTAATGTTCTAGTGTAACATATATGAAGGGAAGCCAACTGTTGATATTTTCTTAGTATCTGTAAATAATGTTCTAATATAATGTACATATAAAATATCATAATAATGGGAAGTCAACTGATAATATTTCCTGTAAGCTTCACTAAATGTAATGTTTATTTTGTTAATTACCTTCTATAATGATAAGTGATGTATTCTAGTACCAGATGTAAAAATTAAACATGAGATTCTTAACTTGCAACCCCCTACTAACAGTCCAAATACTATTCCTAACAGCAATGGGTACAAATTATACCAATAGTTAAGACAAAAACAATAATATCCTTGCAACTAACACACTTTTAATGAAGAGCTAAAACAAACTGGCAAAATAACACTCAAGACGTCCATCAGAATACTGCCTTTAACAATAATGCAATTTGGAGTATCCCATTTAAAAGTCAATGTCCCCAGGCATCTTGGAAGAACTGGAAAAAAATCAGCAAGAATTTTACAAAATCCAAGAAAGACATCAGATGACATCGTCATCTTTTTCCTCAAATACTGTTTGTCAGGAGAAAAACTGCTATGCTGCTAAACAAGGAATTTTAAGTATTTGCACTGTAAAAACCCGGTTTACAAATGCAACACATTACCTGAACACGAACACTGCTTGTAAAAACATAAATGACTACTCTTGAAATAATACTGTCAGTAGCAATAATAAAAAAAGCATAAAACAATTGTAAAAATACATTAAACATCAAGATAAATACATGATTACTAGTGTTATAACTAGTGCAATGTTTCAAAACAATGCATTCTTGTGTCTTATTAAGTTTTTTTACCATTAAAAAGCTGCCATGTTGTAGCATTTTAATTACATGGTAATTTCTCTGTTCTTTTTCACTGTAAATTACTCTTGAGTTCGTGTGTAGACTGTACATCCTAATGAAGGTGTAAGCCAAAAGGTAGATGTAATAAAGTATTTATACGTTCACAATTAGTCATGCTTATATGCAAAGACAAAAGTAATAACTATGCTTACAAACCTCTTAAAACTCCAGCACTATTTTCAATAAATAAGTTTTTCAATGATGTAAGCATAACTGCTACTGTTGATTTTCAGTGTTTTTAAAATGTAATGTTTGATAATTCCTGTAAATACCTATTAGCTTTATTATGTTTCACAAATCTCCGATGATAAAAATTTCAAAGATAATATTTCAACAACAATATTATAGATTCTTTATCAATCTTTGTACACTTTACATTTGTATTGGTGATTTAACAGTACTTCAATAATTTGTAATATTAATTTTTTATCCATTTACTTGACTAAAATAAGAAATTGTTGAATGCCTATCAAATGATCCTCTAAAGTAATTTTTAACTGAACAGTAGTGTGTTATACCACTGCTCTTAACATTTGGGTGATGATTTGATCCTATGGGAAACTTGCATGTTTATTAGTGGTTGATGAGAATGATGACTGAGGACTTTTTGCCTAAGGATGATGCTATTTTAATGTTGAAGTAACGAGTACAATACATATTTGATTATATATGTTCTACAAACTCAAATATCCTAGTGCTTTGATGAAAGAGCAGAAAATGTTAGTGGCTGATGACATAAACATTGTCAAAATCAGTAACATGATAAAGTAAAAACACAGCATTTCTGTTCAAGAAAATATCAATGTTATCATTAGTTTATTAATCTGAAAAGTGTTTAAACTAATCTCTTAGATGGATAATATATACAAAAGTCATTCCTGCCTGATTAGCCATGTATTAATTAATATATTCAGAAAACGAAATTGATGGAAAATAAATACAGATATCATAAAACAGTATAGCAGGTGAACTTGGCACTTACAACTCTACTTTTTAAATTAATGTTACTCATTGTGGCCTGATGATAGTTAAAACAATTGTTGCATGCCATAAGAACTTTGATAGTGAACAATATGGCAAACATGTTAAAGGGTTATGAATATTTTGTACATGACCAAATGATCATCACAGTTTCGTAGAATACCCACACAGGAAAGTTTATTCACATCAAAAAGCCTCCAAATTTTGATCTAATTGCCTCAAACAATCCAGTCAGCTATTAAGTACACATTTGGTAATAATATCTTGAATGATAGCAGGAGATCTGAAATCCTGTGGAAAGACTTTGAATTTACAAAACAGATGTATTATTGACCGGCATTCAACTAGAACTTTTTACCATCCAGATGACACTGGTAAAAGATATTAGTATTTATATCATTTATTCCACCCATAAACTTTAAAGTATCCTATACAGTATTAAGTGATACGTGATCAAGCACCACATACTAACAAAATGTGTAAAGGAAATTCATTATTTCTGAATCGCACATGATAAAAATGTTATCAGTGGGCTTACAGGAAGATTCAAAGTTAACAAGGTTGGATCTTCAACGATCAATATAATATGAATTTTAAGGTTTCTGTTTAGAGTAAACTAAATTCAACAATCAAACAATATTGACTGATCACAGTTTAAATTTATCATAAATATAATGGATTTGATTATTTGTCACATTTAACTATCACAACAACATTAGTTTCTTACATCAAATTGAAACTGGTAACGTTCTTCCATTTAGTGTCAGACTGACAGATTCAATTTGTCATGCAGTTTAAGCTCAGGCTAAAGTGAAGAGATTCAGAGCTTCCAGCTAAACCATGAAAATGTCTTGTTTGTGTGTGAGATAAAATAATCAGATAACTACACTTTACTTGAATATTACAAACATCCAGGTCATGGAAGAGGCCAAGGAAGGCCACTGAAATCTACTGGGCCCCCTAATCCTGCATCAGCTTCCAATAGGCTCATAATAACTGCCATGGCAGCTTCATCATTTCCTTCATTACTGTTGTTTTGGTACGAAACACTGAGCATGTCTCGCCCCATTAATGTATCCATAATATCAATATCTGTAACAAAACAAAAAAAAAACTCACTGAAGTTCTTGAAACAATGTAACTGAAAAAAAAGGAGTGTTTGTGTGCAAGAATTCAATTTTAATGTATTATTAAGTGCATAGAATAAAACAATGGTTTTCATCCTTCTTTTTTCTCCTCACGGATCACTTGGATCTGTGGAAGTAGAACCTAAACTGTGTAAAAGTGCCACTGACATAACTTAATTTGTAAGACATTAAATTTTACTTATCAGGTCAGACCCCTTGGGGCTCACAAACTACGGGTTAAGAGTCATAGATACAAATACTGTTTGGAAACAAAATAAACTGGAAAACAATAATCATGATTCTATTTCTGTATAATCAAGAAATCTTAATAAAACAGTTACAAATGTTACAGGTTAAGAGTCATAGATACCAATACTGTTTGGAAACAAAATAAACTGGAAAACAATAATCATGATTCTATTTCTGTATAATCAAGAAATCTTAATAAAACAGTTACAAATGTTACAGGTTAAGAGTCATAGATACAACTACTGTTTGGAAACAAAATAAACTGGAAAACAATAATCATGATTCTATTTCTGTATAATCAAGAAATCTTAATAAAACATGTGGACTTCATGATTAACTACTAAACTGGATCGCTGAAACAAATGTGTGTAATGTGAGCTACTGAAAGACAATACCAACACAATAAAGTTAATTCAACTACCATTTGTCCAAATAACATGCTTCATTTACATGATTAGGTGAAGGCCTCCTTTCTCCAAATCATTTGGTAAATGAAAAATAACTGGGAAAACAATAAATCTTTATTTTAACATGAACAACTACATGCTAATATTTCTGGGTCTACATATTGAATACACAAGCTAACTGAATCTTTATTTTGAAAAACCACTTTGTACGATTAGTCTTTGAAACTAGTTGAAACAATACTTGGTGTATATATATGAAATTATTCATTCAAAGTGGAACATAAACATATTATTGAGTTAAAGCATTCAAACACATTGAATACGATTATTTGCAGATATTGATCATATGACATGTATTTTAGGAACTCTGTCCATATTTTTGCTACATCTAATATACTTCAAAAAGCACTCTTCAAATGTTAAACTTTGGTAATGATAAACTGTAATGTTTAAATCTTGCCGAAATATTTAGTCTATTAATTGGGTATCATAGAGATTGACCAGTTTATGATGACTTGCAAGTGTTCTTATTTCACGCACACTTTGTTCAGATAATAAACAAATCTCCTTACTCATGTGTAATGTGTGGTAATTTGAATTACTTGGACAGTAAAAGTACTATCACATTTTCAGTGAATTAGCAACTGACAGATAAAAGTTAATTTCTGCTACAGCATTTTGAAGTTACTTTTCAGTATACAATTCTATTTGATAATAATCAGTAGAACGACGGTAATAGCAAACATTCAACACTTTGTTTTCGGTAATGTACGTTTATTCTTCAGACGTTTTGGAATATTCAAAAGTAATCGCAAACAATCGACACTTTGTTTTC